AAAATAAACGTAGAAAAATATTCAGCCATAATGTGGGAAAATGTCTGTATATGCATATGCATATGCATATGCATATGCATATGCATATGGATATGCATATACATATATTTATAGAGTCATATACTCTATAAACCCCAGAAGAAACATCATCTTTCTGATATGTAAAAGTAATACAGTTATTCAAAAATAATTTGTTTTCTATTTTATATTTATATTTGATTTACCTCACTACCTGTCTGCCTGTCTACATTTATTTCCGCCTAATTGTTTACTTCTATACCAGTCTACCTGTCTAACTGCTTAAATTTGCATGAGTTTATCAGTCTACCTGCCTCCATTTCTACATTTTTCATGATTACCGTTCACTTATCTAACTGCTTATTTGTTTACAAATGTCAACCTGCTTACATGTCTACTTTTCTTTGTTTTTACTTTTTACCCGTTTACCTGTCTACCTGCCTATATGTCTACCTATTAACCAATTATTATATTTGTATATGATTCAATAATAATAATTTGTAAAGATCATATTTAACCAACAAATTTGTATTTTCTCTCTACATCTCCAAAACCGCAAGAACTTCCTTTACAACAAGGTAACTAATGCTTCATTTACTCAACACGAGTAGAATATATTTAGAATCATTTGAATCGGATGCTTAAATATCTTCAAAAATGTACAAGTACCTGGACTGTTTTTAAAATTGGTGCGGGAGAAGAATTGAGAAGATAAAATGAACAAATGAAATACCAAATGCATACTGAAGAGAATAAGAAAAATAGAATTTGATCATGAAATGGAAACTGCATCTAACCAACGTTGCAAAAAGAGTACCAGTTGTCCGATGTAGTTAAAGTTTAAATAGAAGTACTAGAAAGACTAAGAAAAAAAAATGCAGATGATTGTCGACTTACGCGAGAGGAGAAAATAAGGGACCTAAATGCCAAAGCACAGGACTGAGAAGTATGAAGGCAGAAGTTCAGAAATGTGAATAATAATAATAATAATTAAGAAGAGAGGGTAAGAAAATGAATAATATGTGGTGATTTGACATCATAGACCTGTTTTCGTGTACAACACTAAGAATTGTAATAATAATACATTTGACAAAAAATTCATATTAACTGGTAGTTCAAAGTTTAATTTTTGAATGATTTGACACTGGTTCATATTAATTGATCACTTAATAGATTTTTCCTAACTAATAAATTTAATTAATTAATAATATTAACTTGAATATAAAGCACACTATCTTATCTTAACTGCCTAAACAATATTTAAATAAATTTACTAAAATGATTAAACATATTTTTATAACATTTCGTTTAAGTTATTATAAATGCTTAAACATTTATCTATATAGGGCTTGCCCGTAAGTAAGCGGTTAAGAGCGACGGGACTCGTTTTAGAGGTCCCGGGTTCGATAATCCACTTAGAGCAGCCTGTTGTCAGGCAACAGTGACAACGATTTTCACTTGGAAATATAAATAGCAATATGTTACCAAGTGAAAATAGCCCTCACCCGGCATTGTTGCACCATACTTGCCCTATTACAGAGATTGTAATAAAAATTTATCATACAGAGATGTGACAACTGTTTGGGTTGCCATCTGTAATAAAACAAACGTAGTTCATCAGAACATAAGTTCTGATCGCTGTTCAAATAAAATTATAAAAAAAAATATCTATATATTTGAAGTGAGTAGTGAAAAAGATGCCTTATGATCAAGTTCGCATTCACACAGGCTCTGCACCAGTTACATCACCTGTTCGCCCGAGGGTTTGTTCCGTGACACATTTACCGAGCGCACCGTCCGCTGGGCGGGCCAAATCAAATATCAACTCTCATCTGAGCAACAATTGCTCCAAATCTGAGTAACCGTGACGCACTATGTCTTCCAAGGTCCACATAATTACAACGGTAGGTCAACGAATATTTCAATAATTCATTTATTTATTTATTCATATGCAAACCCAGGTTGATAGATACGAGTTATATGTACGATTTCTAACTTTTCTTATGGCATGTAAGATCGCTTAAGTAGGACCAAGTAGAACCAAAATTTTAAAATTGAACATTTTAGGTAATGTTACCTTTCGATAAAAAAACAATGTAAGAAAAAACACACAGCATAAAACAAATTGATATCATACAAAAAAAGTCTCATGTAAAACTTAAAGTTTATCTATAGTATTTTTTATTTACTTTGTATCTGGTATTTCATCTATTTACTCATTAATATATCAATTGCTAATATTTAAATTATATAAAACAAAAATTTTATCTACTCTGTTAGATTTGGATTTGTTTGCAGATAGGGTAGAGAGGGGTCTTAAAGATCCGCGAGTGAAAAGTTGACCACCTATATCTTAAAAACAAGTAAAGTTAAATGAAGCAAATTAGCTCCAATTTATATCAAATTATATCCATAAGTGTGTCATGACTTATACATAAATATAAAATTATCGATGTTTAATAAAATCGTCATTGAATTGCAAATTATGGCTAATCCGCCTAATTAGCGAAACCAAATTAATACAAAAATAAAAGCGTTGCAAACACAACCATGAAATTGAACAAAAAAATATTCATGGAAAAGCCCTCCAGTTTAGAGTTTTTTAACAACAGTATTTAAAAGTATAGGAAAAGATATATAGCCATCATCTAGATTTTTATGTTGTTGCTATTGGGAGAAAAATAGCAATCCCCAGTATTTACTTATGTTGTTAGTTTCTTTGTCTGTGAGCACTGTTGTTTAATTTACGAGACCTTAATTTAATTTTCAAGTTTATGTTATTTAATTGTTTTATAGATATATTGTTAGTTTCAAGTTAAATTTGACAGTTTTTATATAACCTCTATAAAAGCTTACACGTGGGTGGGAAAAAAAGACCAACTGAATCTATACACTGGTAAAGGTGTAGCAATAAAAAATAGTAAATAAAAAAGTAAATTAAGCTAAAGAAAGCTATTTTCTAAGAGACAAATTATATAAATAGTTATTCCAACTCTGCTGATAAATGTTTCGACAAAATACCTGATCAAGGTTATATACAGTGGAAACATTTATTAACTCTCTAATAAATGTTTTCATGAAATTTATATTTTGCATTGGTTGAATAATGTAGCTTTTAGTTCGTAAAATCCCTTTGAAATTGAAAGTCTCATTCTACCCGGCCTACGGAGTAAAAAGAACCAGATGACAAAAACAGCAAAAAACACATTCATCTACAATGATGAATTAGCTGGGAGTTTTACTGAACATAGTCAAATAGTTGTTTGTTTGACATGTGTTATTTGTTGTAATAATATTGCTTTGGTTTGCACAATATAATTGCTCAAAGTGAACTTGGATCTTTGTGCCCCGCCGTACTAATAATCATAACGCTTATATTATAAGATCATGGTGCTAATGGTAAGCTAGGCGGTTAATAAATAAGCTTTTCAAAATAAATTGATTTTTTACTCTATATAAATTATTGCAAGACTGACAAATTGAGAAACTATAGATGTTGCACGTAGTTATAATAATATATTTCCAAAAAATAATATTCCGAAAGGTGAGAATTGAAATTTGAACTCTATATATATATATACATATATATTTATATAAATATGTATATATATATATATATATATATTAATACATCCATAATAAAAGTAAGTTTTCGGAATTTCATTCATTCAGACAAGTAAATATTTAATTATAATGTAAATGCTTCGCCGCACTTGATAATTGATTTAAACGCTCGTTGTGAACAGGAAAAAGTTCAAAAAGTTCACAAGACCGATGGCATATGGGAAATAGTTTTAATTATATTTATAAAAACTGAATCTTACATAATATAATATATGTTGAAAATAATACATAAGGAATATATATTATTCTGTTGAAATAAAACAGTTGAGATAGACGGAATTATATATTGTATGCTTTATAGGACTTTCATTGAACTTTTTTTTATGAAGATAGAATATATTAATTTTGAAGATAGGTGTCTACAATATTTATTTGATGGATAAATTTCCTGAAAGCTTGATTCTTTGTGCACTTGTACCTATTGTTAATCGCGACGTATCAAGGCTCGACAATGTAATGAAATAACCTTAACTTTTTTGTTAAGCAACCTTCATTACTAAATGAAGAAATTGGAACTTTACCAGTACAAAAACCTAATATTATGTTATCTATAACAAAATCTATTAAACATTGCAAAAACAATTAAAATTCTAACAAACACAAATAATTGGGAAAGTATTTTAAAAAATTAGCATATTTTATTGAATAATTTGATAATAAATGGTCGCAGTAGTATTCTATTGATAGTTTTTGTTGTTTATCCTAAACACTTTGAGGAAAGTTCAACTATTATTAGTGTTTTAAGTATTTGTTTTTCTCGTGATCAAACTTTGGCTGGTATAAATAATAGAAAATTATTTTCGCATTAACAATTTTTCTGATGAAGATTGAAGTAACTTAGTTATTATTTATAAGAAAATATTTATTAGTTTATATTATTATCATTGAAATATTGTTAATATTATTTATAACGAATAAAAAAACAACTATTGAGTTGTTTTTCCGACAAGTCATTATGATTTACAATGTCTCTATTAAGGCTGACAACTGTAAATCAACAAATTTGCTAAATGTCCTTAACTAGACAGTTGTAAAAAATTGATATATTTTTAATTCAATAATTTATTTTCACTATTAAGTGATTATAAGCGACTTTAAATCAGTTTTTCAAAGTATTATTAAGTTAGCGATAATAAAAAAGTGGTTGATATAATATGTCATGCATCAGTATTGCCATAAAAATGCCATTAGCAAAGTCGTGATTTAAAAAAAAATGAAATATAATTTCGTAATATGCAGTGCTGATATTAATCCAGTACACGGTTACATATGACAACAGACTGTATGACTATAAAAGAGACGTATACCGTTACTCGATACGATTCTAAACCCGCGTCTCGTCCAGCACGCATCTCACCATGGCCTTCAAGGTACACGATCGAAAATATATTTAATTGTGATTCAAATAAAAATATTAATATACAAAAAACGATAATGAGAGGATTTAGTGACAGTGTTTTTGTGTTTGTTAGTAAATTGAAATATTTTCTTTCCAGCTATTCGTGTTCGCCGCTGTAGTGGCTATCGCTAAAGCCGGAGTAGTACCGGCTCCATACGCTGCGGCTCCTGTAGCATACGCCGCACCTGCACCTGCTCCCTTTGCCTACGCAGCTCCAGCCCAATTCGCTGCACCTATCGTAGCCAAAGCCGTAGCTCCAGTATCTTACGCCGCACCAGCCCACTATGCACCTGCTCCAGTATTGGCTAAGGCCGTAGCCCCTGTAGCTTATGCCGCTCCAGTTGCCAAAGCTGTAGTTAAAACTGTAGAATACGAAGCAGCCCCACAATACAGCTACGGATACTCCGTGCAAGACCCTTTGACCGGAGACTCCAAGAGCCAACACGAGACTCGCAATGGTGACGCCGTACAAGGATCTTACTCTGTTGTAGATGCCGATGGTACCAAACGTACTGTGGAATATACCGCTGATGATGTGCACGGATTCAACGCTGTCGTACACCGTGAACCCCTCCACGTGAAGGTCGCTGCTCCAGTTGTTGCCAAAGTTGCTGCCCCAGTTGTCGCCAAAGTTGCTGCTCCAGTAGCTTACGCTGCACCAGCCCACTATGCCGCTCCAGTTGTAGCTAAAGCCGTAGCTCCAGTTGCTTACGCTGCCCCAGCTCACTACCCCGCCCCAGCCCACTACGCCGCTGCCCCAGTCGTAGCCAAGGCTGTTGCACCAGTAGCATATGCTGCTGCTCCAGCTCATTATGCCGCCACTACCTACCACCACTAAATTATCATTCATAAATTCGACTCTAAATTATTAAAAAATTAAATAAAATTGTAAATATAAAATAAATTTAGTAAAAAAATTAAAATGTGAATTTCATTCATTTGCTATGCTCGAATTTAAAACTATTATAGTAGAACTATTTTATAAGTAGCATTCAATTATAAAAAAATATTAAAAATTAATAAAAAATCTGTTTAAAATTAAAATACCTTTAGCAACGCTTAATTAAATAAATTTTCGAAAAAATACAGATCCTCTCGAAATTGTTATTAAATTTTTTCTTATAATCTCATGTTTTGACACCAACCGCTCTTGCGTCTGGATTTCTTCTTCTACGCATTATTTAGATGTAGAATTAATGTTATGAAAGCTTCAGAATATTTCAGAAAAAAATAATAGATGCATTAAATTGATGGACTTGTTTGCCCATCAGTTTTTGCAACTTTTACAATATCTAAGAATTAAAAGTTATTCTTTAGAATTAGATAATAATCTGGATTTGCGAGTATTTAAAAGTAAAATAGTAATATATCTCGGCATTTTCATGAAAGAGCGATTTAGTTACATCATTAAATTAGCAAAAGATATGCCAAACAAATATTGTTAATATAATTTATGTTTAAAACAAAATTTTTAACAATATTTTAAACCGACCTGCTTAATATTATAATAGCTGTCCTGCAGGCCAACGTAATAAACAGAACTGTGCAGGTTTGTCATTTTTGAAACATAAAATATAATTTCGGTAACGTAATATAGACTATATTTGCTTTATTATTATCGACCAATTTTAAATATTATAAATATTACTTTGTTTTAAATTTATTAATATTTGATAATATGTGACAACTTTTGGGGTTAGTTGACACAGAATCTTGGAGCTAGTTGAAACAAAACCCTGGGGCTCGTTGTAATTATATACAGGTTCAAGTGAAAAAGATTGAATGCAATGAATAGTTATAGAAAATAGAAAAATAATGAACAACAGTTATGGACTTAGTTCTACTTGATTCGGTTAAAAGTTACTCCTACTATGAATTCTTATTTTGTAGAAGTATAATATAATCAGCGAATTTAAAGATATAATAATTTAAAATGAAAACTGTTTTTTTATTTATTGATATATTATTTTCATACATCAGTCAAATGAAAACTCACTTCCTTTCTTCTAACAATCCCTTTCTTCCTCAAGATTTGATTATTATATAAAACTAAAGATATATATTTCATATTATACGCGCAGTTAGAAGTTGCCCAAATAAAATTTAATTATAATTTATCCACAACAAAAATCATAAACGCTTCATTAAATACAACAAACATAATTATACAAAGTTAATAGAATGAATATCATATAATTGTTTCATATTTATCATAATTATTATTCTATAAATAGAATTGAATAACTTTGAGTGAGACAATCATCATTTGCATCTTATTGTTATTAAAAATGATCATCTCAAAATATGTCCTAATTAAATCCTCGATTTGTTACATATGATAAATGTTACTGCACTTGATGAAAATGATTTGTATTTTTATCATAGTTCACATTCAATTAACAAAATCATTTTTACAAAAAACCCAAGCAATGTTTTACAAGGTTTTAAGGAAGTTACCATATTAGGGACCGGTCTTAACATTTAAGTCACTCATTGAAGCGTATTTCACTTTGATAAAAGTATTTATTTCACTACAAAAGCAGCACATCAACTTTATGACATTGACAATGATTTATAATGCAAAAACTGGTAATTAAACTCACTTTGAGTATCAAGGATTCAATATGATTGACACAGAAGTAAAGAGTCAATTTTTTATATTGAAAAGTGATATCAACATTAAAAATAAATATCAGAAGCATTCCTTATTTCTCCCTAAAAGTGTAAAAAACAAATGCGCAAAAAATTTATATTCATTTAGTTTTAGAAGTTGCCAAGATATTTAAGAAAAAAAAAAGATATTTATTTGGATTTTTAAATCCCTAAACATATCAAATAATAAAAAAAATTAGGGTTGTATTCATATAGATACTATCAAATTGATACTATCAATCATCTTATATATATTCATTTAAGTATTTGAAGAAATATGCTTATACAGTTTATTCTTGAAATTACTTCACTATTTGAAAAATTATAAGTCTATGATTCATAATAAATTTTATATTATTTCAAAACTTGAGCAATATATAAATGTTAGGCAATACAAAATTTATTTCGAAGCCTATATCAGAATGTTATTGACCCTGAAATAATTTTATTATTGTTTTTATTGCACATTTATAACTAATTGGCAATTACAAAAATATATCTCTAAATTAAGCCGAAAAAAATATTTGAATAACTTCTCGTAAGGTAAGTTATTGAAATCGCAAAAAAATCTAAATTGAAAATTTTTGCATATACATATTCACGCTTTGAAGGTTTCTGAACTGTGTGACATACCTTCAAAAATGGATGTGTGTGTATGTATGTATGGATACAATTTTTTGTCTACGTTTTCAGGCGCACGGATCAACCGATTTGAATGCTTAATCAAATATTCGATTCTAAATAATAAACAATAAAAATTAAAATTAAAAATTTTTGCGTATACATAATCACGTTTTAAAGGTTTCTGAACTATGTGACATACTTTAATAAATGAATGTGTGTGTGTATGCATGTATGGATACATTTTTTTGTCCACGTTATCGGACGCACGGATCAACCGATTTGAATGGTTAAAAAAATATTCGATTCCTATTGATAGAAAGCTGTGCTGATTCGTTTTATGCAAAAACTTGCAGATTTTGAGAGTACTAAGCACCCAATTTAAATGATTCAAAAAACTATCTGCTTGTTTTGACGAAATAATTGCTTGGGGCAAGATTTTTTTTCTATTTTTTTAATAAAAAAAAATAAATTTTTCTAGCTAAAATTCTAGCTAAAGTTCTAAAGCTCTCTTAAACGCTTCGAACAAATAATTTTAAATTTGCAATTTAGTTTACATAATTCTTATAAATATTAGACAATGTCCTTTATTTTAAATCCGGTTGATTAGGTTTCGTCGTTTGTAGTTCAATTTATAATAAATATAAGGTATTTTGTCTATAAAATACGAATCATGGAAATTACAATATTTATAATAATATATTTGAAAACATTTAATATTCTTTAACATTTAATCGATTATGGTACGGAAAGTTCCAGCAATTGGCATTATGGCACGATGCCATACTTTACTAGTTTTCAAAATCTTCTGCATCATTTGTATATATTCAATTTTTAATTATAGCAAACCAAAACATCTGGCTTTTGGTTACCTGTATATGATAACGTCTACGACTATATTAAAAAAGTTAAATTTTTAATTAATTCAGAGAACTTACGCACACTTAACATAAAAAACTGTATGTGTTGTAAAACATTATATAGATATTTTTGTTATATTTTTGCTTACTACATCATCACTTTATACTAACGTAATTTTAATATTAAAACTATTTTTAAACTATCAAATTTTGCTCCCAATTCAACTCCCCGGCGTAGCAATCTTCTGGTATAAAAGCTTAATGAAATGAAGATCGCTGTTTTTATAGCCAACACAATAATTTCACACACATTATTGAAAATTGCTTGCAATTGATATTTCTTTAAATATTACAGGAAACAATTTCTATCCTCGTTTTTCGCACAACATACGTTTGGAGTTGCAAAATATTAGCTTAATTTCCTTTATATGTGTCTATTACATAAGTATCTGTTTCAATCAAAACGCAACCGTGTAATAAGTTGTATTTAAAATGTGCATGTCACCCACGATGATGTTTTTCTATCCACCAGGAACAAACAATCGACATTCGAATATCACGACAAACATTTATAGCCAAATTTCTTACAATGTATAGGTAAACGAAAGCGATATTAAAAAACATTTCTAGTACGTGATAAACATTGCAATGTGCTGAAACTATGACGGTTTTGGAATGCATTATACATAAACATTTATTTGGAGAATTAAATTTGATCTTATATATTAACGTAGGGGAGCTTGGGGCTATTTGAAACAGGGTAAACAGTAACAAGCGTTTTTCAATAGGATCTTAAACGATATTAAACTATTTTTTTGTTTCCATTGGACATGTAAACCTGCATAATATTATCCCACAGGCTGGCTTAATATACAGAACTGTGCAGGTCCGACATTTTCGGTAATAAAGTTTTGGTTTGCGTTATTATTTTGGAATGATACTAAATTCAATATTTCTTATATTTTTTTTAATTTATCAATCTTTGATGGCGTGCAACAATTTGTTGTAATTTCTAAATTATATAAATATAGTTATCTTGATTATTAAAAAGGACTCGAAGGAAAGATGGTAATTGAGGCTAACCATTGAAAACAGTTATAACGAGAAAAATTTTATACAGATTTAAGTTAAAAAGATTATATGGAATGTATAGTTTTCATATTACAGGATACGCTAGATCCTTTATTTGTATCAAGTGATTGTAGTTTACGTTGATTTATGATTAATTTTTGTATTGAGAATAACTTACAAACAAGTAATTTTTCCTAAAAATGAGTATGTATTATCAATCAATTACTACAGACATTATTGTTGTTTTTTGTCGTTACTGCTTTCTTCGGTAGATGTTGCAACTACCCTCAAACATGAGGTAACACCGCACCTTTTCCAGAAATTGATTAATTGTAAAATAATGAACAACAATTGTGAAATTATTTTTACTATAGTGATTTGGTAGAGTAATAGTTACATCAACTATCTAAATTTATTTCGTAGATCTTAAGATATATTAACTTAAAAAAAACTTTTACAACAAGCTTCTAAATTCCGTACTAATTAAATAAAATTCAGACAGAACACAAAAGGATGTAGACTTTATTTCTATAAATTATGTTGAAAATTCCAAAGTTAAGAACATAGCGATGCTATTCTGAAGTATTCCAATATATAAATACAAAAAAATAATTGAGTTGATATTAATTTTTTTTTAGCATTCGCATTTCTTGTTCAGAGCATTATTTTCCGAATATTTGAAGTTACACCTTGATTCATATGGTATTTAGGTACATCACTGTAATATAAGGTAACGAATGGCACAAAAGTTCAATTAGATTTTTAGTAATTATTCTTTCTAATCAAAATAAACTACATAAGAAAAAATAACACGTATCAAGCAAATAACTATCGAACTACAGTTCCATAAAATTACCAGTTAATTCCTAATCATCTAGAATTTGCCATCTGTCCTTTTATATGCCAAAAACTGGGTAAAAAGAAATAGCCATTGGGCAAACAAATAAAATGTTTTATTTTTCATATTAAAGAAATTTCACAAAATAATAGCCAAATTATTTAACCAATGCAATATATAAATTTCAGGAGCATATATTTACAAAGTATATAACATTAATATCCATTTCCATCTGAAGGGCTAGAATAACTATTAATTTAATTTATCTCTTTGCAAAATCGATTTCTTTAACAAAATTTGTGTTTTCATTTACTATTTTTTATTGTTTACACCTTTGCCAGGGTAGAAGTTCTGTTGGTCCTTGTAACCTATCCAAAAGTGAGCTATTATAAAGGTTATATAAAAACATCTGAATCTAATTTAAAATTAACTTTTATATTTCTTATAAAATAATTAAATAATGCATACTTGAAAATTATATCAAGGACTCGTAAACTAAACAACAGTGCTCACATCCGAAAAACTAACAACGCAAGAAAATACTTTTGTTCGAAAAAGGTGGTGACTGGTATTACATCTTTTGGGTGTATATGTGTAATCTGTGTAGGTATACGTAAATTATCAACGGCATTTTATAATAAACATATATAAATATTTATATATGTATATATATAATTTATATACGGTTATTTCCAAATAATTTACTATTTGAATTTTTGTATATGTGGGTTGATGTTGATGATCTATATAAACTATTCATAATAAAGAAATTATATTACATAAATTACATCTGGTGAGAAGAGTATTAAAAAGAAAGTTGTTAATGCAAATATATCTAGAGTAAAAAACAAAAATTAAAAAAATGTATATCAATACAGATACAATCTTGTTAATTTAAATTAACTATTTCACAAGTAGTTTTTTAGCAATGTCTCATACTCTTCACTATTCTGCGAACGTTTAAATTTTGTAGTGATTGTTCCGATGTATTGTTGCGTAAATACAACTGCACGCGCGGTTCATATAAAAGAGCTTGTTTTATCGTACAGAGTATAATCGAATTTCATCTTTCGTACAACAAACACCTCAACATGGCATTCAAGGTATATTATAAAATATATTTTAAATGAAAAAGTTTCTTAGCAAGAGAATCTACTGTAAAATTTATTTTGTCTAAAATTAATTATTTATTACAATAACAAATGTATAATTATAAAATTTACATTAATAAACATTTCTTATATTTCCAGCTTTTCGTATTCGCCGCCGTTGTGGCCATCGCCAGAGCCGGAGTCGTTGATTTGCCAGCAGCATCTTCTCACAGCTACTCTCACAGCTACACCGCACCCGCTGTGCACGCCTACGCCGCTGCTCCAGTCGTCGCAAAGACTTTAGCTGCTCCAGTAGCCTACGCCGCCCCCGCACACTACGCCGCACCAGCACACTACGCCGCACCAGCTCACTTCGACTACGCCACCACACACTACTCAGCACCAGTCGTCGCTAAAGCTGTTGCCCCAGTAGCTTATGCCCCAGCTCACTACGCCGCTGCTCCAGTTGTAGCTAAATCTGTAGCTCCATTGGCCTACGCCGCTCCAGCTTCATTCGCCTACGCTGCACCAGCTCACTACGCTGCTCCAGTTGTAGCCAAAACTTTATCTTACTCTGCACCAGCTCACTTTGACCACTACTCTTACGCTGCACCAGCCCCAGTAGTAGCCAAAGCCGTAGCCCCAGTTGCCTACGCCGCCCCAGCTCACTATGCCGCCCCAGTCGTAGCCAAGGCCGTAGCTCCAGTTGCCTACGCCGCACCAGCTCACTACGCCACTGCCCACTACGCAGCTCCAGCCCCAGTTGTAGCTAAAGCTGTAGCTCCTTTGGCATACGCCGCACCAGCTCACTACGCATCTTACCATCATTAAGTGCAATACGAAAACATCGCCATGTTTTGACTGTTATTATTTATAATAATTTTTTAAAACAAATAAATTTAATTTAAAGTTGAAAGATTTATTTAATTATTGTTATATTTTATTAACTGCACGAATAGTTCATATTCTCCAGAAAATCCAACACTCTAATTTTATATTTTCTCAAAATTGGAAAATGTATGGGTGTGTGTAAGTGTATGTGATAAGATTTTTGGCTCTTCGATGAAAATAGATAAAGACTCGTCTTGATTACTTTTGTGAGAAGAGCATTTCATATAATTAGCAAAAAGTGCAAAATATTTTGTCCAAATTTTCACAAAATACTTGAACCGATTTTAAAAAATTTAAAACACTATTCAAAAGGCATCTGTTGACAATCGTTTTGATTGATTGATTGTTCATTAACTTCCCGTAGGGTAAGTTATTGTAATCGTCCAATAATCGAAATTAAATTTTTTTGCATTTCTCGACGTTTTGAAGGTTTCTGAACATTTTGGTATACCTCAGAAAAAATGGATGTGTGTTTGTGTGTGTGTATGTATGTATGGATACAATTTGACGATTTGAATGGTTCAAAAAACATTCAATGCGTAATGACGGGAAACAGAAGTGATTAGTTTTCGGCAAAGACAGGTCCAGCGGTTTCGGAGATACAGAGCTAAATGTGCAAAAAATGGCAGTTTTTAAGAGAACGGAGCTTCCGATTTTAATAATTCAAGAAAGATTTTACTTGTATTGACAAGATGAAGAACTGATTAAATTTTTGGGAAAGCAGGTCTAGCGGTTATGGACTCTCAATAAAAATAAGTTAAAAATATGTCATTTTGAGGTCAAAAATGTTTATTGGATGTATATCAAATTATCAGATATTTTATAGAGATTTTATCAATGTGTACACATTTTGTGTGATTTTTTTTGGTTCCGTACCAAGATATTTAATTACGGTACGGGAAGTTCCATAAATTTGCCTCAAGGCACGATGCCATGCACCCCACTAGTTTATATTTTGAATTTTTTGAAAATTTTGAACGTTTTACTTATAAATATCTACATACATACACACATACATCCAATTTTTTTAATGTATGCCAAAATGTTCAGAAACATTTTCATTTCCGATTTTAGTTGCGATTGATATAACTTCTAGGTAAAACTACTAGTTAAAAATTATCTGTAGATCAAATGAGTAAAATGTGTACGAGTATAAATTAAGCTATAAATTAAGATTATTAAAACAAGCCAATGTAGATAATAATTTATCTACTAATGTAGTAATAGAACACATGTTTATTTACATAATATTATATAAATTTCGGAGAGTATGTGATGCTTTACAACCACAAAGTTTAGAGTTCAAATCAGTTGCATGCGTTTTGATGTCAAGCAGTAGTGATCTCTATTCTCACTAGAGAAATGTAGATCAAAAATATGTTTTCAAGTGAAAATACCCCTTCCTACCGCTCACACCAAAGAAATTTCATCAAATAAATAAGCCGAACAAAAGTTTCTGAATAATTGTTATCACATAACAAAAAAGATATAATTGATCCTTGATCTAGTAAAGTAAAAATAATATTTCAAAGAAAAAGTATTTTATGAATTTTATACTAATGATAATATTGACATTGACATTGATAACATTAATATTGATAATAATAGTGAACGGTTTTGTAATACAAAAGTTGTACACGAAATGTTAAAAAATTTGAGTTGATTAATCTTTGATAAAGTAATAATTGGTAAATCAAATTAATTACTAAAGTATTAATGAAGTCCTCTCACGAGTTTCATTTTTACCTCACTGTTATATAGAAAATCTGTAAATAGAACTCTACTTTTGAATACAACGAAATGGCGGCTAATTATAACCAATAAATAGTTCAGTAAAATTAGTTTAATGAAAGTTGCTGTATTGTAGAACTATTCGCATGAGAATATTCCAGAAAAGCTTTTTATGTGTTTATGAAGTTTGACTGCATTAATCATTGGTATTGATCAATTACACCTACACAAAAAATTCATATTCTCATCAAGCATCCCCAAATATATATTAATTTTCTTAAAATCTAGCTTTAAATTTTAGTCTATACTCTTTTTTAAAATGCAATTAATTGATTTAATACATTAATTAATTTAATGTATTTGTGTTCAATTTATCATAATTAGAATAATTGCTTATTGAAATACAATTATTAAAAATAAAATGAATACAACTTCTGTTTGAAACAAATTTTATGGGCATATATCTTATAAAGATCGCACTGGATACAACCTTTATATGGAACTTTGTCAGAAGAATCCATCATCAGACAATTCGCTACAAAATTTATAATATGGCTTGGTCGTCTGCTGGTAGCGAAATCGCACTATTTAAGACTACGGCAGATTACACAGCATTTTCCATCTACCATTAAATATTGTTGTTTAATCAAATCTAACCTTAGTTCTTTTGAGATATTGGTAGTGGAATTTCAAGCCTAACCTAACTTTACTCACACGTAGTATAGTATTGGTAGTGGAACCTTAAGCCCCGCTTTATCCCATAATTTTAGTATTTTTTCATATCAATATAAACGCCATTTAATTCAAATTACACTAATTATAGGGGACGTCCATTAATCACGCGATTGCCTTTTCAGCATTTTTGGACCTCTTTTCCCCTTGGTGATATTTAAAATTACCCCCCTCCCCCAGGAAACATCACGTGTATATTTAGCACTTAGGACAAATTTAGCATTTTTTTAAAATTCAGGTAAAAAATAAATACGCGTGATATCTTGCTAGACCCCCCTTCCCACTACGTGATTATTCGTGATTTTTTGTCAAACCTCCCTTTCCTCCTTTAAGCCTCATGTGATTAATGGACGCATCCTAACAAGTTCTATATATTTCATCATACATACTGCAACTATACTACATGTGCTGTATATTCAAATACAATACAGAAATACATGTTATAAATTCTGCAAAAGCTTTGCTCAAAATGTCAACAAATAACATATTTTGTATAAACTTACACAAATTCAAATATTTTTATCAGCATCTTATGAGAAAGTCTCCAATATTTTAGACCAAAATATTACTAGGTTAGGCCAGTTGGCTAATATAGTTGTTTTCAACTGTGGATTTTAGATTTCCCAGATTGTTTACGAGCTGTAGATGTGAAAAGAAATTGTACTTGTAACTAATTACTTATTGTTTGATTGTTCTAGTCAACAACACTTAAGTCAATAAATCAATATTTAAATCACCTTTATTTAGTGAATTGACGACTCTATTGCACTCTACATTGCAATTATCCAGTAGAAGGGAAAAACGCCGAGAGAGGCCGGCAAGTAAAAAGACGCGTAAAACTTGCAAGAAACATCAATAATCAATGTGTGTATATGTTTAAGTGCACATACATATTTATATGAATATTATTATGATAAACTATAAATTATATTTTTAATCCAAGGGATTTTTTTAAAATCCTCATATCTTAACAGCGATCAGTCTTATGAGCTGTTGGGTTGAATCTTAACCTGACTACTTATTTTTAGATGATAACCCAATGGTTAATCTATCCATATTTGATGATTCTATTATTAGAATTTATCTAATAGGACTGACTTATATTTAGCAATGCCGGGCAAGGGTTATTTACACTTGCAAACATATTGCTATTTACATTTCCAAGTGAAAATCGTTGTCACTACTGCTTGACAACAGGCTGCTAATAACTGCTTACCTATGGGCGAGCTCGAATCCGAAGAATAAATGGTAAAATCGAAAAGAATGAGTGAAATATGGTAACAAAATACGCCAAACAGATTTTACACTTATCATAATTACGATTAATAATCACAATCTATAAAAAGCTAAAAATGTAATTTTTTCTACTCATTCAATGTGTATGCAACTGCAACCATACGCAACTGCAACCTATATAATTTAAAACACTATTATCATGTTCAGTAATTGTACAATTTTTTTTAGTAAGTGTTTATTCAAAACAAATTTGTTTAAATAATACGAAATTTATGAGAAAAGGGACATTCCATATCACAAAAACGTAGAAACTATTTACAAATGAGAAATTAAATAAATAGTTTTTTGTAAAAAAGGGATTTATTTCAGTAAAAAATCATTATATATATATATATATATATATATATATATATATATATACGTTTACAATTAATATCCATATATACAATTAATGTAAGTTGATTGCTCCATATTAAAGTAATCAAAATTTCTTCAATACGCAATATCCGACGGCTCCAGTTTGGTCAAAAGCGATGTGTCATGTTACGTAAAAAAACGTTTTCATCGTAATATGAAACATATAAAAGCTTACGCACCTCGTTCACCGATACAATTCACACATTGTGCACCGACTGCTTAACACAAAAATGGCATTCAAAGTAAGAACAATATTATTAATATAGCCGCACTTAATATAATAGTTGAACTTATTAAATTTTTATTATTTTCAGCTTTTCTTATTCGCTGCTGTTCTAGCTGTCGCTAGAGCTGGATACTTGGGATCCGCAGGATTGTACTCATCCGCCTACGCCGCACCTGCCCTGCACAGCTACGCTGCCCACGCTCCTTTAGTGGCTAAGACTGTAGCTCCTTTGGCCTACGCCGCACCAGCCCTCCATAGCTACGCAGCACCAGCCCTGCACAGCTACGCAGCATTTGCTCCATTGGTGACCAAGACCGTAGCTCCTCTGTCTTACTCATCTCACTACGCACCATCTCACTACGGATACTCCCACTACGCTCCTGCTGCACACTATGCTGCTCCAGTTGTTGCCAAGGCCGTCGCTCCTTTGGCCTACTCAGCACCAGCTCACTTTGCACCTGCTCCTTATGTAGCCAAGTCTTACGCTGCACCTCTTTCCTACTCTGCACACTACGCCGAACCTGCTCTTTCTCACGTTTCTTATGCTGCTCCACTCCATTACTCCGCTCCAGCTCACTACGATGCCGCCCCTTTGCTGGCTAAATCATACGCACCTTTGCCATACTCCGCCCCAGCATGGTAAAGAACAATTTCCCAAAGCCATTAGAATGTGTTCAAAAAGACAAATAAATTGTTTCTATTATTAAGTAACCATATGTTTTTTTTTTTTTTTTTTTTTGTTTATGTTGCAAAAGTTTCAGAATGGAATCGCAAAAATACCTAGTGATTTGTTTTGGTTAATATATTTTTTTAATTGCAATTCAAAATTACAATTGATAATAATTATAATTAGTAAATTTGTTTTTCTAACCAAACAAAATAAGAAAATATAATATATTTGATGGAGATGATAATAATGAAAATTTCAAAAGTGGTTAAAAAAATAAGTATAAAATATTGAAAAAAAGTATTTAATACATTTGTTTTTATATAAAAATTAAATATTTCTGAATAAGGAAGTATTCTTTATCCCGATGCCCGATGGCCGATAAAATTTTATAAGATTTTTTTAAGAGAGATAAGAGAAAACAAAACTGGATGGTATCATGTTTATTAATTAGTGGTTCATGGCATCGTCTTAAGACAAATTGCTGGAACTTTCCGTACCGTAATAGAATATTCGAGGGATATTAAATTCTTTTAAATAGACTATTATAAATACTGTAACTGTCATCATTCGTATTTTATAGACAAAACATCGGAGCTTATAATTTTGATATCGACATGTTTATATGAAAAATAAATAAACAAATTGTAAACAAGCGGAATTATAATTAAAAGACCTTTATTCATATTTCCAAAAATTATATAAATTTATTTCAAATATATAAGAGAGCTGTAGAATTGTGGTTAGAATTAGAATTAAAATCCGAATCACGTTTTAGATATTTAAAAAAAATTGCGAATGAAAAAAATAAACTAGTGGGGTGCATGGCATTGTGCCTTAAGGCAAATTGCTGGAACTTCCCGTACCATTAAAATTCCAATTAAAAATCTTGCTACGGAATCCCAAAAAAATTACACAAAATGTTTACGTATTATTAAAATCTCTATATAATTTCTGATAATTTGATGTACATATGTCCAATAAACATTTTTGACCGCCAAATGACATTTTTAACTAATTTTTATTGAGAGTCCATAACCGCTAGACCTACCTTCGCCAAAAACTAATCCTTAATCCAGCACGTCTTCTTATCAATACAAATCGAATGTTTTTTGAATTATTCAAATCGGTTGATCGGTGTTCCCAAAATCGTCGACAAAAATTTGTATCCGCACACGCACACGCACACACATACACAGATAGACACACACACACATGCATCCATTTTCTCTAACCTTTGAAACGTAAAGATATATAAGAATTTTCATTTTTGATTTTTTTGCGATTACTATAACTTACCCTACGGAAAGTTAAAAAAACAAAAAAAAAGTTTGTCTTCTCCAAAAACTAATCGTTTCATTATAAGAGAAAAGTTTTTTGATTCATTTAAATCGGATGCTTCGTTCTCTATTCTTCAGCTCCTGTTTTTGCCAAAAACTGAATGTTTTTTGAATTATTCAATTCGGATGGTATGTTCTCTCAAAAACTTATGTTCTATTTTCTGTACTGTTTGCTCTTTATTCAAATTTTTGCTCTCCGAAACGGCTGGACATGTCTTTTGCCAAAAACTAATCAGCACCTATCAGTAAGAGTCAAATGAAAAATAAATGTTTTTGGAATTATTCAAATCGGTTGATCTTTGTGCCCGAAAACGTAGACAAAAAATTCTATCTATACATACACGCACACAAATCAACTTTTTTAAGGTCTGCCAAAATGTTCAGAGACCTTTAAAACGTGATGATATGCGAACATTTTCAGTTTCGATTTTTGGACGAATACAATAACTTACCATACGGGAAGTTAATAAATTTTGTTTTACATGATTAATTACCCAGAAAAACATAATAGAGGGAATATAAGAGCTTTATGTAACAGGGGTAAGTAGTAATAGGCGCTTTTCAATAGGGTCTTGAACAAAATTAAAATATTTTTGCGATTTAATTGGAAAACTGTGCTGGTCCCTCATTTTTGATGTCAATTTTGATATCAAAATGAGGGACATGCACTCAATATACAATTATACTAACATGAAATTTCGATTTGTATTATTATTATCGACTAAATTTTTGTTTTATTTTATACTAATTTTGATTTTAATGTCAGAATACATTAAAAACAAATTAATAAAAAAATGTTTTAATTCGCATATTAAATGATTTATACAAAAATAATTTTATTGAATATTCCTCTTTCCATCTAACTTTCGCAATTTTTGCACATTCCAAAACGTTTTAATGCTGTTCAAGAATTTTAGTTATCAATTCTCACAGGGTATTATTAAAGTAAGTCCTAAAAAAGTATCTGAACAGACGATTTATAGCTATAATTACAATCCTAATTTTAATGATAAGTAGTGATCAATCTAAGAGCGATGTTGAATGTCATTATTGCTTAAAAATTCAATTATGCCAATGTCACTTTGTTATAAAACTTGACTTTGACTGTGATTTAATGATTGAATAATCTCACAAATATTTTAAAGATTTTAGATCAAGGTAGAGACTTGTTCAATGAAAAATTTAATTTCAAAAGAAAGAAAATATTAAATTACAGTGCATGTTAAAGTTGTTATTTTTTGCACAAATATTGAAACCATATTTTAAATCATACTTATTGTGCATAAATATATTTTACTAAAATGTTTGTATTGAAAGTGTAGCAATTATTAATATCTAGTCATTTCACATAAAACTGCACTTTATGCATTTATTTTAGAAAGGATTTGAAATATTTTATACCACATAAGCAGTAAAAAATTTCACTCCTTCTGAAATGCATCTGGAATTTATTATCCAGCTGATAAAACTGTGTTTAAGTAAAGCATGACATAATAATTATAATAGTTTGTTTGTAAATAGTTAATAATAAAAAAATATTTTTATTGTAAATAATTTATTATTTAAATATTTAATTATTCAAAATAATTATTTACCATGATGGAGCAGAGTATGACAAAGGAGCGTAGGATTTAGCCAAAAGTGGGGCGGAGTAGTGAAGTGGAGCAGCGTAGGAAGCGTGGGAGAGAACTGGTGCGGAATAAGACAATGGAGCTACGGCTTTGGCAAGGAGTGGAGCAGGTGCGGCGTAGTGTGCGGAGTAGGAGAGTGGTGCGGCATATGACTTGGCTACGTATGAAGCAGGAGCAAAGTGAGCTGGTGCTGAGTAGGCCAAGGGAGCGACGGTCTTGGTCACCAATGGAGCAGAGTAGTGTGCAGCAGGAGCGTAGTGAGAGTAACCGTAGTGAGATGGTGCGTAGTGAGATGAGTAAGACAGAGGAGCTACGGTCTTGGTCACCAATGGAGCAGCTGCGTAGCTGTGCAGGGCTGGCGCAGTGTAGGCTGGTGCGGCGTAGGCCAAAGGAGCTACAGTCTTAGCCACTAAAGGAGCGTGGGCAGCGTAGCTGTGTAGGGCAGGTGCGGCGTAGGCAGATGAGTATAATCCTGCGGATCCTAGGTATCCTGCTCTGGCAACTGCCAATAAGGCGGTGAACACAACAAGCTAAAATATACAAAAATATTTGTGATTTAAATTATATTTAATTTATTTCCAAATCGTTAATATATACCTTGAATGCCATTTTGATTTATTGTTTGATTGATAACACACTACCACAAACTGTGAAGAACATCGAAAACGTCGGTCTTATATATGATGCCGATTGCGATATATTTGGTTTTACGCAACTGCACGCAAAAATCGATTTTTGGTAGGGGCAGTAGTATCCAAGTTGACATAATTTGTCATATAAATTATTTTACAGGAAGATTTAATACGCCAATTAAAATTAATATAATGTAAATAGATATGTTCAATGATGTTCCAGTTCACTTTCACAAAATGAATAGCGATAAAATAGATAATTCACTTTTGCCTCGACTGCTATATTTCCAATGACCACCAATTTATCTTAAATTTATATCATTTTTAAAAATGTTTTGAGGTTATTATTAACATTAACCTCTAAATTTTTGAGAAATTGCATTTTATTGCATTGTATTATCAAACGATACAAAATATTTATGAACCTATTAATTATGAATGATACAATTATAAATAATAAATATTATTTATAAAAGATATTTGCGGATAAATGAGAGTTTCGTATTCAAGGAATATATTATAAATTACATTGTATTCACTTTAAGTTTAAAATAGATAAGGTTACCGAATCTCTCCTTTTAAGAGCTTTTAGGTGGAAAATTTACACTTTTTATATAGTTATATTTTTTATATAGTTATATAATTACGTATATTTGCTCGTCCGTCTAATTGTTTCTTTCTTAGCTGGTCCATTATAATTGTTTTGACTAAAAAATTTGTATAAAAATCTAAATCCTATGATTGAATAATAATTGGAATAAGTAAGTAATAACTATACTGTATGTATCAATTACTTGTTGATACTGGCATAATATTTATATCAAAATCAACAAAGTAAAATATGAACTACGGCATCGTGCCTTAAGGCAAATTGCTAGAATTTCCCGCAGCGTAAGAAAATGTTCGAGGAATATTAAATGTTTTCGAATAAATCAGATTAATATAAGTATTGTAACACTGTCTAATATTTATAAAAATTATATAAACTGAATTGCAAAGTTAAAGTTATTTATTTAAAGTATATAAGTGAGCTTTAGAACTTTAGCCAGAATTAAAATTATCATCTGAATTATTTTAGATATATAAATAAAAAAAAATTTTTGAAAGAATTTTTTTTCAAAAGCAATTATTTTGTCAAAATAAGCAGAAAGTTTTTTGAATCATTCAAATCGGAAGCTTAGTTCTTTCAAAAACTGCCATTTGTTGTACATTTAGCTCTGTATCTTCGGAATGGGCGGTTCTGTCTTTGCCAAAAACTAATCACTTCTTCTTGCAATCATTACAAATAGAATGTTTTTTGGATCATTACGAGATACCCCGTTCTCTCAAAAAATCAATTTCTATATTCTGCACTCTTTGCTTTGTACCTCCGT